TATGCGCTCACTAAAAAAAAAAATATTGTCCCACGCATAGCTCGATGGGTATTAGCTACACAAGAATTTTTATTTGAAACTAGCTGACCCGACAGACTTCGTCCTGTCAAAAAGATTTGTAATGTGGCAGTTTTTTTTGCCTACGTATTTAAAAAAATTCTGCGTGCCGAAACTAATACAAAAGAAACGCGAGTTTCGGAACGCGACATTAAACTCCTCCAACTATGTATTCTGTGCTCCAACGCACACACGCACACTGTTTTGATAGATATGATCTTTGACGTTAGGAACACACCTACATTGCTTAGACAACAGTGAGTGCTTGTAATTTAATATGAACTTAATACCATAGCAATAAAGCTCAAATTGACTACGTTTTAGTTACAAATCATTTGTATGGGAAAAAGAAAAGGGCTATTTTTAGGGTTTTTCCAGCAATAATTCTAATTTTTCTCGCCGTAAAAACCATCCTTGAACTTCAACGAACATTTTAAAAAAAGATTTGGCCAAATTGGTCGAGGCGTTGTTGAGTTATGCGCTTACCAACACATTTTGCGATTCATTTTTATATATATATAGATAGATTGTCCATAGAGCAGGTACACGTATGCTGCATGTTGATGCATTAAGTCGAAATCCTGTAGTTTCGGGGGGAAAAGTCTGAAGTTGAAATCATTATGTCCATTACTGAAGCAGATTGGTTGCTGTTAGTGCAAACACAAGACTCTAAAATTCAACAATTAAAATCAATTTTAGAATCGGGAGAGGCCGACCAAAAAAGGAGATGTTTTTGACAAATACGAATTGCTTGGGTCAAAAGTTTACAGAAGAACAGCAAAGGGTCGTCGATGGTCGGTACCAAAAAAATGTATTTGGCAAATAATTAAATACAACCATGATGACATTGGACATTTTTCTGTAGACAAAACTGTAGAAAGAATATCAAAGTTTTACTGGTTTCCCCACATGCGTCGTATTATAAAAAAGTACATAAAAATTGTTTAAATTGTATATACTTCAAAAACAAAGGGGGTGCCAAGGAAGGCGAATTATTTCCAATGCCAAAATATGCTCAACCTTTTCATACACTTCATTTAGACCACTTGGGTCCATTCAAAGTCAAAAAACTTGTGGGAAATGACAGATATGAGGTAACGGATCTTAAAGGAAGTGAAAGATCCTTTAAAAAGTATACTGGCGTGATAGCGGCTGAAAATATGAAGCCGTGGATTAAAATAGACAACTGGAATGAATCTGAATAATTACGTGATTATATTATGTATATAATAGATATTCGTGTTGGCAAGGTAAACACCTTAATATACTGTTTTTGGTATCTTACCTAATTCATAGTTTATTAAAAATAGAACACATAAAAAAAAAAATTATGTATACAAGTAAAATATTACATCAGGCATAACAATTTGGTTTATAAAGTAATACGAGTATACACGTAAGGTTTGCGAGTCAAGATAAAATGCTTTAACTTATATTTATGTCACACATTAATAATTGTTGTAAACATATTGAAAGGTACATAGGCATAATTGTGAGTGAACTTGGTACGCTCAAGTGGGTATATCCCTTTGAGTGCAAGTGGCTCTATTGTGCAGGGTGGAAGACTAACTTGGTCTCTTAAGTGCGGCAGAGTCCCTTTAAGTGCAAGTAGTTTTCTAACAGACAAACAAATGTGGAAACAGTTACTTATGTGTGATATTAGTAACAATATGACCGCATTACCTTACACCTTTATTGAGTATATGTTAAACTACTAATAATAACATATAACTTTTAAATATTTCCTGTAACTGACTTGTTATTTTAATAAATAGAAATTAAAAATACCTAAAACCGTCGGTATTCCAAGGTAAATAAATAAGTTACCTAAATATAGTTCATGCGTGTAAACATACTGACTCGTATATAAGTGAGGTAGGACGTGTTGAACCAACTCGGTATGCTTAAGTGAGGTTATTGCCCTTTGAGTGCGAGTGGTTGCAAAAACTAAGACTAACTTGGTCCCTTAAGTGTGGTAAATTCCCTTTAAGTGCAAGTGGTCTTCAGTTTAGTCGTCACGGAAACAAAGACGAACTTGGTCTCTTAAGTGTGGTAAATTCCCTTTAAGTGCAAGTGGTCTTCAGTTTCAAAATATTCTGTTTGCGGTCAGTATGTGAACATGTTAAGAAGACTGAACATTATACGTGTGACATTTACATTATTTCATATTTAATTTCATATTATCAGTTTCAGTATATTCCATAAAATTGTGGCGTCTGGGGCAAACGCCTTGCAGAATGGCCGTGTTGGCAACTTAATGAAATCAACATTAATCGACCGGAAGTTGACGCCGGTGACGCCAGCTTGCGGCGCACAATGACGTTCACGTGCAAGATGGCGACTATATAAGCTAGCAACCGACCTAAGCATGGCAGTCTTAGTTCCGCTCGCGCTGTGACAACTAGTGTAAATTATAAAATAAAGTGTTGTGATTATTGATAGCTATGTGTGATGTATGCAAATTAGTGAATAAATAGTTTGATGATTGAAAGTGAGGTTTTAGTTTACATTATAAAATATAGAATATTTGCTTTAGTATTGCATTAAAACATTTTAAAAAGAATGAAGTTCAAAATAAAGTTCAACTTTTCGCTATAGGGTGCAAAAAAAAAAAGATGCCCACCTCCACCCTCCATATTTTACATTCCGAGCATGCGCACTTTCATATATTCAGGGTCCGATCAGATGCGACTGCAATGTTGGGTCCTTTACTATTACACGGTATACTTTCCTCGGATCACTCTGTCACTCACTTTCCCACGCGTTAAAATTTTAATTTTTAAAATTCGCAAACCCGTATCAGGACCGAATTTTTTGCAGACAACCCTATATCAATGTGTTCGTAATGAAAAAGCGCTTATGTTGATATATTTTTTTTTTTTATTATCAAATCAAGTGAAATTAACTGGCATCGATATACCTGTTTATACCTGACAACCCAGTAGTTCGTCCGGGTAAATAATAGACAACCCAACGTCTGCACATTCTATATGTTTTATACTTTAAGTCAGAATTAAATTTTTCTTATTATCTTGATGTTGCAAGATTTAATAAAAAAATATTTTTTTAAAAATAATTTAAAATATTCTGTCCAGGATTTTTTTAGCGAACCCATTTTTAAATATATTTTCTAATATACTAAATTAATTATACAATAAGTTTTATTCCATTATCAACCCGGTGAAGGTCGATTTAGGTTCGGATCTTAGACTAATAGACTTTATAGGCAATAATCGAACATTTCCTAACCTAAACGAGTTAAACTTCGATCAACAGTTCAACTTGAAATCATTGAACTACTATTTATACTACGTAGTAGTATTAGCTCAATGCTTGAAAATGTTGATGTCGAACATTCTTATTTCTCTTTGTCGTTAATGTATATATTCATTGCCCGTGTATACATAATGAAGCTTTTCAAGCGATAAAATAAACCAGGGCTTTTTGGCTTTCAACTCTTTGAATACCCCGGAGTTTCAGTCTAATATAGATTTTTTTTAATAAATATAAGATAGAGCGCAGGCACTAAAGTCGAATTGTCTTCTTCTTCTTAACTTAAATGGCATTTTGCATCACCACAATACTGCTTCACGTTCTGTTACTTACATAATCTTTGACAGATCTTATTCACAATTTGTAATCGGAGTATTTACTCTTTATAACACATTATTTATTTTTCTGATTAAAATGCAAACCAATTAAAAATGTATACTTATGAATGAAATGTGACCCCTTGGTATTAAGATGATTTACTTATGTTGTTTCTACAGTTTCGCTTAACACAGGATGGCATTTTTAAAATGATTATGGTACATAAACGCACACAATCAACGCTTTCGCCAGACTGCGCACAGGTATGCTAATTAGCACAGTTATAAGGTGAATTTTTGAATTCAAGTAATCAGTCTGCCCTTTTTTTATTGTAATATCATTAACTCTCAATGACTTCTGACATTTACAGAAAATATTAATAGTGATAATGCTGCATTCTGGCGATAGAAAGTTGTAGTTACTTTTGTTTCTGTCACCTTTCATTTGAATGTATCACCGAATGAGGGCTAACGGTTTTTTGGTCATCAGACGGCGCGACAGTCGAGAGCGATCCTGCCAAAGATTTTTTACTACGAGATAGTACTTAATTAATACATTATACATAAATAAACAATTTTATTAAAAAATATAATTTAAGCTCTTCTTTCATCTTGCTTAATTTTGCACTACTTTTTCATGGCTTCGTTTTTAAAAACCTTACTCAAGGAATAATAGTAATGAATCTCAATCTCATAATAACAATGAATATCAAGTACCCCAAAATAAGAGCCGAAATTCGTTTATTTGAAAAAAAAAGCGCGTAATTCACAGACTAAGTATGATACTGTGAAGAACTCACGTTATAATAGCCCCTCTTGTGTCAAATTCAAAAGCGTTAGCCCTCACCATCATGTGTTCAAGCACAAATACATCCTATTATGCCACTGGTGACTTTTTGTGATCTGTCGCCATGCCTAATAATCTTATTGGTGGTCCTGAACATGGTACAACTGTGTGACTTCCATACAAATTACAGAAGCACAGTGATAGAAGACAAAAACAAATTCAATGATAACAGACACCAGTGCGCACGAAGCCTTACGGTTGCATGGACACTTCAACAAACATCAATATGTGATGTATTTGAAGAAATAATTTGTCAAAAAACTAGAGTTTGTAATTAGTTAAAAATATTATTAATAAATTGTGGATTATTAATTACCCAATTTTATCTTTGAGATTAAAATACTGACCATTTGTAATTATGTCCAGATATTTTAATTCTTATCTGTGGTTTTGATCGGCTATGAGTTTTTATACTGTAACATTATACTAACAATTCTAAAAATCCATTCTTTTGCCTCCTTCAGCACATTCTATTCTCATAGTTGTGCAATCGTATTACAAATGGGTTACTGATAATTAATATTTTGTCGCCATCTATAATATTTTCTGTACATTGAAAAAAAAATTCATATCGGTATCCCATGGTTCTAGTAACTTAATAATAAAGCTACAAATTTGTTGATCATTCCATATTATTACAATTAACAGCATTTTCAGTGTCTAAAATTTCTATTTTTGTTTTAAAAATTAAGTTCATAATGTCTTTTTTTAAAATCAATAAATGTGTCTTTGAATTAATTTCTCTGAGTTCATTGGCAACAGCTTCCCCAAATATAGAGTACTCATCTTTTTTTTGTTTACTAAGTATTGCTGTAGATACTGCATCTTGTAATAAATTTAAACTTTTTACTTGATTTTCACTTTTACGTTTGAATGTGTGCTTGGGTTTGGGTGGTGGAGTAGTATATTGTAATGGGGGTCCAAAGGAGACATATTCATCCATTTCTTCATCCATTTCATGTTGTTCATTTTCTGTTAGAGTATTCTGAAATAAAATATTTATATTTTCAATGATTGCATTAAAAAGGGGGCATATTACAAGATACATTGAAAAGAATATTTCAAATTATGAAAAATTTAGTTCAAATTATGGTAGTTCCTATCAACATATTTGATGTAAATGAATATAGAATATTGCAGTGACATTTTAGAAACCACATCTTTTATTAAAAGTTGAGTGTCACACCTCAAGTTTATATTACTCATCAGCTATGTGAAAAACCCATCATTTCAGAAGGTGCAGAAAGCTTCTTAATGTGGGTGCTAAATTTTGAATTAAGTATATATAAATATCGCACTCCCGGTGCGACACTGTCACTTTTGCAAAAAATACAAAAATTAGTTAAATATGTAATAATTGTCCTAAAGCACCCCTTTACTTAGTGCGATAATGTTACTTTTGTAGTACGCATAGTTTCCGTATGATTCATCTCATCTATATCTTCTAAAGCAATTGTTTTATGAGGTGGCAGAGTTTAAAACTCTTCTCCTGAAAAACTAAATTTTTGCATAAGTGACAGTGTCGCACCGGGAGTGCGATATGTATGTTTTCTTACAAATTGAATTGCAATTAATTTTGTTTTGTGTTATTACTTAGCTTTCAACTTAAAGACTGCACTTTTAAATCAGTTTCATAGTTTCAAAGATATAAAACTATTAACACTGAACTTAAATATTATAATAGTAAAACTAGATTAAAAAAAGTTTAACATAAGAAAAATAAATTGACAGAACTCCAGCCCACTTTTCTTTTTATTATTAAACTTTTAAAACTTATTACATATTATGTATAGGACTAATATGTAATAGGTTTTAAAAGTTTATATGATGTATAGAAGTTATTTGTATTTGTGTAAATGTTTGACATCTTAGACCAAATAAATAGTAAAGATGGAGTAAGATGGAGTTCTCTGAATAACAAAGTGAACAAACTTCCACTACGTTAACTAAAATTTTAATATATAGAAAGTTTGAAACCTTTGGATATAAGTTTTGCTTTATTCGACGTAAACCTTTTATAGTAAAATACATATCATCGCTCTTAAAATGAGTCGAACAAACTACACTGCGTGAAGTTGGATTCCATGAAGGTTCATTTCGACTATTACGAATGACTGAAATCCACTTCTCTTTCACATTTTGATGTCGGTTTGGAAATGAAAAAATGTATGCAAACCCGTTTAGTAAAAATAAAGAAGTAAAAAATTAAATCTTTTTTTTTTACTTCTTTATTGTAAACACTTCAATATCTGTGATCTGGATCTCTATGTAGCATTTTGAATGCAAAATTTATTAAATATCATTTCCATATAACAAGAAAAAAAATACATAACGTAATTTGTGTTTTGTTAGAAATAACACGTTATAAAATTAAAGTTACCTGATTTCAGGGTAAATAATAACGTTTAACGATGGCAATATTTGGCTGAGGTTTTGTCTTCCAAGCAATTACTTAAATTTAATTTTTAAATTACTGAAAATGTAATTTTTCTCCGATACTTATGTGTGAAATGTGATTCCATCCTGCTTTTTATTTTTTGAGGATTGGTTTTTACAACCTTTTACTACACAATTCGGCAGTTAGTAAGAAATTTTTGATATTTTTTATAATGTAACGTTCCGCACACTGTCTTTAGTTAGACTGATAAGGAAGGCGTAGTTTCGTTATGTATGTGTGCGTGAAACTGTGTACGAATACATCGAGGCGTAGTTTTGTCGGCTTCACTTTTCTGTTAGGCAAAACTCCGTCTATACTTTTTATTTGGTCTGAGTTTGACATATGTATGTTTATTAGACATTGTTGACAACACTTTTATTTATTTATTTTTAAAGAAGAATTAAATAAGTAGGTATGTGTATCTACGTATAATAAATATCATTTATTTATAATATGTTTTTTTTTTATTTACTTACATTTGAGAAAGTTTCGTGTTTAATTCTGAAAGTCTTTAATAATTCATCTGCAGTAGTAAACCAAGAAACCCTCGGTTTATACACAGAATCTTGATCGGCACCTGATCGAATGCTTTTTTCAATTTTTTTTAATTCTTGATAGTAAGATGATCTTAGATTTTTAATTTTTTTTGGTATGTCTTTAGGCGAGACCCCAGGAATATTTAACCTTTCCGCGATTTGTTTATAAGCACTTTCTCTCATGTCTCGGTTTTTATAAAATGCACTTGTTACGTCCCACAAACACTCGTAATCACGATATATTTCTACAAGTTTTAACATTTGAGTCTCTGTAAAACGATCGGACATTTTGCTTGAGTACACTATTTGTTTATTTACTTTTTTATCTAGTAGTTAGAGCTATCAAACTCGTAAAGAAAAATCGATCGATAACACATCGATACACACCATTACTTCACAAACTACTAGGGATGGAACAATATAACGGAAATCGATATATATCGATCGACACCCAAAAATATCGATATCGAAGAAACAGAGATATCGATATCGAATGAAATACTAAGAGTAAATGTATATTATCCAAAACTTTAACATTCTACGGCATTTTCACATATGATATACATTATTTTGTAACCCTGATTTTTTTACTTTGAAATGAGGGAGTATTTAAAAATAAAAATTAGTTCTTTAAATGATGTTTGAGTCTTGTCTACGATATTTATTCAAATTTTGTTTCCTACGTAATAAAAGTAAATTGAGTATCGAAATTAATTAATATGACATCGTCTCGTTCTTCTTTTAATGTCTAACTTTCAAATTAATTTTATTTGAATCGTAAGTTTAAGTTATTTATTATGTTACGTGTAAAGGAACGATGTTTAGTTTATATGTCAACATTAGTGATGGCCAACTTATTGGTTGCTTGTAACTTCAATTGACTCGATTGGCTCGACGTCCGCCGTCGACATGCAAGTTCAGTAACGATAGTATAATAGCTGCACGTGTCGTTGTGAATCAAAGATATTTTTAAATTCTTAATTTAGAAAGTTGCACTTTATACTTCCAAAATACGGTTTCAAATCAACTGTGACTAAATACCTAAAAACCCTTGACTATGAAGCTACTAAAAACCTTCTTATCCCATTTAAGTAAATAATAAAACCGTAAATAGGTATATATTTACCAATACGGTTAAAATGGTAAACAATATTAAGACACGACAAACCTTAATAAATAATTTTATATACACAACTAATATAACAAATCAATTTCCGCAGTGTTAATACTCAGTTAATTTGCTTCCCAATTTAACTCACACACAGACATAAGCGTACACGCCCATTCTAACAATAACATTTAGCCACATACTCTACTTATTTATTTATTATTTATTTGTTTTTATATATAATGTTTACATATACAAAAAAAATATATTTTCTTCACAAAATATATTAACTGCATCACCACTTATTTATATTTTAATCGTAGGGTAGATCCTGGTGACACAGGTTTCTACTGAAACTAATTTCAAGTTCCAGTCTATCACAAAATTAAAAAATACAAATGTATTAAGAATCTTAAGACCCATTTGTTACTACATGATTTTGTGTAGAGATAATAAATTATTATTATACTTTGCACAAACGTCATTCTAGCCAGAAGTCATGTTATTTTGTACTAATATCTAGTATGTTTGATACATATCAAGTAAATATATAGATAATAAACGGATTTTGTATTATAATTATCGTTTTTATGACCTTTGCTGCTGATTAATAAACCATATTCATTTATTCACCACATGTATTATAAAAAAAATATGCAGACTTGCTCTCTAAAAAAAACCTGGTGGTGTTGTGTGCGTTGGGTGGTTACGTTACCTGAAATATAGTTGAGTGAAGCGATGGCTAGTTCATGCGTCAATCTCGTCAATCTCGGGTGCTCCCAAATACAAGATCTCCTGGCTTAGTTTTGTGAACCGTTGACAAAGTTTTCGAATTTCACAAGTACTATGTTACAGCCTAGACTAAATTGATTTGGCTAATTATATTAATATAATTCGACGTGTGGATGCATAATGGCACATTTGGAAATAATGCACATAAAAAAACAAGCAAAAGTCTGCGCTTCGTTTTTTATTCATAATACAAAACCTGAATTCGGATCAATCGAGGCAATTGAAGTTACGAGCAACCAATAAGTTGGCTCATCGCTAATGTTGCCATATAGACCAAACATCATTCCTTTACACGTAACATAGTAAATAACTTAAACTTACGATTCAAATATATTAAAATTAATTTGAAAGTATGATATTATAAGAAACACGAAAAGATGTTATATTTATTGATTTTCAATACTTAACTTACTTTTATTACGTCAGAAACAAAATTTGAATGAATATCATAGACAATATCCAAACAACGCACGGGCCAGCGTGGGGGGTCATAGCCATCCATAAAGAAGTCCTGAGCCCATGCAGTGGAGACATACAAGAGCTGATGATGATTATGATGATTGTATGATGTATTAAAAAAATTAATTGGTTGAAAATGTGGACACAAAAACATTTCATAGGGAAATGATAATTAAAAAATTTAGTTTTATTTTATTATAAAAAGTACGTAAATAGAAAGCAGTAAACTCGCGGTTTTATAAAAGTTCTGCGCAAAACATATTTTTCTAAAGATTGGATCATTTACATCTAAATTAGTGCAAAGATTCGAATCAATTACTGCTTCATTTGGGTTACCGATTCTCAGATAGATTTTAGAGAAAATTTATGACTGCGATTGGTACATATATGTCAAATTTAGCCTTCTTAAACTCTGTAATCATTGTTGTTTAAATTCTTCAGTTTCGGATATCTGAAGCAAAATCATGTTTGTATCTTTATCAAAAAATACTATACATTTTAATCTGTACCACACATTTTGAAGAGGCTACAGCGGCTTTAGGGTCTAAATAACCCTTAAAATATCTGGTGCAGAGGACAAGGGGTAACCATTTGTACTATTCTCACTAACGTGAAATGAAATGGAATGGAACGGAACGGAACGGAACGGAACGGAATGGAATGAATATCGTAAACAAAATCCAAACATCGCGAGTGACATCTAGTATAAGCATGCTTTTGAAAGCTCAAGAACTAATTTTTATTTTTTAAATACTTCCTCATTAGGCGTCGGTGTATTGATAGATACAGACGATAGATACTCGAGTAGGATTTTGTGACTCGAGTCACTTGGGCCAATTGATTCGAACTCGATGTCTCTTAGGAATTTCAAACTAATACAGACATCATCATCATCAGCCCTTTTACGTCAGCGGCTCAGACCTTCCTTATGGATGGTTAAGCAGAATGGGCCATGATGGCCCAATGCTCCATGTTGGCCCAATGCTGATTGAAGGGTAATACCGACGTGCCTTCCGAAGCACGGAGTAGCTCGATATAATAATTTTTTTGATTACCCATCCCGTGACCGACCATCGCGGAAGTTGCTTAACAGCAACGATTGCGGGCCGCGACGCTTATCCATTACGCCACCGAGGTACTTTACCACCGAGCTACTAATCTAAATAAAATATACATTAAAAGTTATTTGACTTATTATTTATCTAAGAAATCAAGAAAATAAAATAAAATAAGCTGCTTAGATTGCTAAATTAGAGTAGCAAAATGACATCTAGTGGCATGAAAATCAACTCAATGCGTTGAGTTGACTTGATAACTCGAGTGCATAAAGCTATTATACAGTGATATTTTTTCACTCGAGTATGAATTTGAAACATTCACTTGTGTTGTTTGAATAAAAACAGGATTCGAGGGCTTCGCTACCAGCGGTGCGGATCCGCCATTTTACTTTGCTTAGCGCTTTGGCGTGTCTTTTGCGAGTTCTTTCTTGTGTTGTAGTTTGTGTGACGTGTATGTTTTTCGGTTAGGAGTTAAATTAAAAAAAAAAGCACCTCGTGGGAAATGGGAGATCGTAAGTTGAATTATAAGTGTACGGTTATCAAAATATAATTTAAGTCTTAAACATGCATTTTTTATCTCCAGCGTTCGGATCAAGTGACTATAGCGGTGGCGGTGGTTACTCGGCTCAATACTCTGTACCACCACCTCAAATGCCCGCAGGAGATAATAACTACGGCTCAGGAGGCCAAACCGGATACAATTATTCCAGCCAGTCTTCTGGTCAGGAATGGAACCAACAAAACTCCGGTAACTAACACGTTGATAGTTTTTGAACTTTCACTTTAACGAGCCTATAATTTTATTAATATATTAAAAACACTTTAGGTGGAAATTCATATGGCAGCAGCCAGCCGGGAAACAATTACAACGCAGGCTATGGATCAAGCTATGGCAGTGGGGGTTATGATCAAAATAACTCTAGCAGTTACAATGTCAGCGGAGGTGATCGCGGTGGCAACAACTACAGTGGTAATGGGGACAGAGCGGGATCTAACTATGGAGGAAGCCGAGGTGGAAGTAACTACTCCAGCAGTGACCGAGGGGGATTTGGAGGTGGGGATAGATCGAGCTACAGTCGAGATGGCGGAAACCGAGATGGAGGTTATGGGTAAGCTCATTTCTTGAAATATTTATTTTAGCGTCACTTTGATAGTATGGTGATTATGTGTCATTGTATGAAATTATTTCACTTATTAAACACTGTTGTGAGTCTTGAAGACTTAATTATTTGGTTACTAGCAATTGTTTTATGTTGATGGGTTATAAGTGCCTCTAGAAAATGTATGAATTACCTATTTAAATGTATAGTTATTAATTTTAATGAGGATTTTCTATTGATATAAATGTAAGCATGTTGGATAAAATTAAAGCACATATACAGGTCCGATAAATCATTAGTAAGTTTAAAAGATATATGGGTGATTCTACAATAAGAGGTAACTTGACCGGCAATCACTATAAAATACGTTTTTTGTTCCATAATGTCCAATCCTTTACAATCAATTACACGATTTTAATGTATTTCAATGAATAGAGTCACAATTTAATGCTGAAATATTATACATTTTTCTGAAATTGCTAATAAAGTCTAAAAAAGTATCTACCCTGGCCTGTCTCTTTGCCGATTTTAGTTTAATTTACTGCCAGTTCCTACCTTATTTGTATCGCTTTCTAAACTAAACCATGATTAGTATCAAATTAAATAAATGTTCTTTAATAATTTTAAGAAAAAATGCAACAAAGTATTTATTTTTCGTATAATTTCTGAACTTAAATTTTGTCCCGTATTTTTTGTGTCTACCCTGGCAAATTTAGTTTCACTGCTACCAACATAAAAATAAAACGGCCATATTGCAAATTCCTGTCAAGGACATCTAACGACGTAAAGTTAGCCACACATAACAAGCAAGCCCTTAGAGGCCGCCATTTTGCTACTTGTCGCGACGCGTCCGTGCGGTGTAGTGGTCTCGCAAAGTCATTGTGTCTCTCCACTGGTAAGTCATAAAAGTTATTTTATTGATTTGATTCGATTGTGTTTATTACATTTATTCAATAATACTGTAGTAATTCTAGTGGGATATTCAATTAAACCAATAATGTGATACGTCTATTTCAATATTTGAATTTATCATGAAAACATCTTTCCCCTGGCGTATTTCCCCTGCCAAGATAAATTCCAGGGGAGAGATTTACTAGCCAGGGGAGATAAAACATATCATGTAATGTAGTCACAGAGTAATTTAGATATAGCTAGATTGTACTGAAGTCAGTTTTATACGGTATATATATATATATATTGATAAATTGTTATGATAAAAAAGAGATCTCTAATTTTTTTGTCATGATATTTTCTAATATTGTTACAGATTATGGCACCGCGAAAAAAGTTAACACGTGAAGAAAAACTGCAAAAGAAACGTGAAGCAGAGAGGCAAAGATATGAAAGGATTAAAAATGACCCAGAAAAGTATAAATTGCAAAAACTAAAAGAAAAAGAAAAATATTTGAAAAAGAAAGAAAAAGGACTAATAAAAACTGTCGATCAAATGACTCCTAGAGAGCAACGTAAAGCACGAAAAATATGGAAGAAGAAGGCAAGAGAGCGTAGGCAACGACTTGCTTTTCAAAATGTAGCTAATGTTCCAGTTGATGATGAAATACCACAGAGAAATTTTCAGTCAAGAGCTATGGCTACTAAACTTAAATCAGACCGAGCAAGAAGGCAACGATATTTAATTAATAAAAAAAAAGATGAAACTATATATCTACTAAAAACTAAACTGGCATGTTACAAAAAAAGGTTACAAAGATTACGAAAGCGGGAAAAACTTACACCTAACAGCAAAGTGGAAAAAGAGATGAATTCCCCAAGTGCAAGAGATACAGTGAAGAAAAAATTACTGTTTGCAGATGTGCTCCATCAACAATTAAAAGAAAATTATTCTGCTCTTCCAAACGAAAAAGAAAAAAGGATTTTTAAAAGAATGATAAGCGGGAAGTTAGTGAAAAAATATAGAATACTACAGAACGAGAAAAATATGAAACCCTTGAGAAAACTTGGGAAAGTACAACTAATTGATGATAAAAGGAAAAGCAAAAAAGGTTACGAAGTAATGAAGAGGAAAATTATAAATTTTCTTGAAGAGGATTCTAATTCGAGATTATGTGCTGGCAAAAAAGATTACGTGACGAAGAAAGGAGACCGCAAACAAAAAAGAGTTCTTCTGGATTCTCTGAAAAATCTCCACAGATCTTTCATGACGAAGTGCAATATAACGATCTCATATTCACTATTCTGTCATCTAAAACCATTTTGGATAGTACAGCCAAAATGTGATAAACGTGACACTTGTCTATGCGCTGCACACGCCAATATAGATCTGATCCTTTCAGCTTTATTCCAAGCCAAAATTATATCTATATCAAATCATCAAAATATGCTTCAAGAAATTTGTTGCAGCAGGTATAACGAACACTGTCTTTCCCGAGATTGCAGGATTTGTAAAAATAAAGGGCTCAATTACAAAGAATTTGATAATGCCATTCAAATTGTGTACAGAAAATGGGAACCTGTCTCAACCACTATAACTGATCCAAAAACGCGTAAGAAAAGAAAGGTGACTAAATACATGAAAAATTCAATTGAGATATATCCTCGTGATTTAATTTTACAGTTAGATTATAGCTTGGAGAAATTCCTTCAGCACGAAAGGAATATAGTACACCAATATTCGGTTTATAAGATTAAAAAGACTAATATTAATTTAAATAAAGAGGCTATGATTCATATGGACTTCAGTGAGAATTACTTGACCAAATATGCAGAAGAAATTCAAGCATTTCATTTCGGGGGTTCGCGTCAACAATTAAGTCTGCACACGGTTGTAACTTACACAAAAGAAGACACAGATGAAGTAAAGACTACTTGCTATTGTTCGATGTCACAAAATTTATTACATTCGCCTCCAGCTATATGGGCACATTTGCAGCCAATTTTAAACAGGTTGCCATCAGAAGTAGAGATAATTCATTTTTGGAGCGATGGACCCGTTACACAATATCGCAACAAATACATGTTTTACTTTCTTGTCACGCATTTGATAGAATTTTATCCAGCCATTATACATTTTACCTGGAACTATCACGAAGCTGGACACGGCAAGGGAGCTCCTGATGGTGTTGGTGCCGTTTGCAAAAGAACAGCAGACCGATTGGTGAGTAATGGCAATGACATATCATCTCTGAGCGATCTATCAGAAGCTATTCAGAGAAGCTGCCCTGGCATCAATGTTTTCCTTATTGACGACATACATATTCTTGAGAAAGAGGCTTTGCTTGCTACTTCTAAAGAACATATTAAGACTTTTTCCGGTACTTTGCGTGTCCATCAGGTGTCATGGAACATTAAAGATCCACATAAATTGAAAATGAAATCTTTAAGCTGCTTTTGCAATGAAAATACATGCGACCATTTCGAAATTGGTGTTATGACATACTCGTCCCATAAAAAATCTCGTCTCCGCGTCGAGGATGTTTACGGACCGGATTCAGACTCGGAAAAAGAGAATTGTTCTGACAGCAAACAACAGTACCACCAGGATCAGATAGAGGACGAACAACAACCGTCCACTTCTAAAACTGTATTCAAGAACGGCGACTTCGTTCTAGTTAAACTTCTGTCGAAAAAAACAGAGTACCGTTACGTGGCTATGTGTACGGGTTTGGAAGAAGATGATGAGATACAGGTAGTTTTCTGCAAAATTGGGGACAAAAGTGGAAAAATATTTAAAGTTGATGAACAAGATATTTCATTTATCTCAGAAGATCAGATTGTCCAGACACTCCCTACGCCAAATCTAATATTAAAGGGGCTGAGGGTTTTCTACTCTTTCAAAAAGCCAGTGAATGTCTTTGAAAAAGCTTAAATATTTTATTTTATTTTGTTTGTACAGGGAAGGAAGTGCCATTATTTTGTTTATTTTATATCGTTGACTATGTATACTATCTTAATTATCTTAGCTATCACAAGTCTGATTATTGTTAAAAGGTGCTAGTCCAGCTGCTTATTTAATTAGTATTATTAGAAGATATTTAATTTTTTGTTAAATGTATGAGGACATGTTAATTTAATTTTGTTTTTTACTTAAGAAAAGGTTTTAATGTGAGAGTCTAATTAAAGATACAAATTTAATAGTCTGATAAAAAATATAGTCTGATTAAAAGTTAAGTGTAATGTTTAATAAAAGTTGATATTAATAATTTAATTCATCATTTCATTGCCTGAATCTCTCCCCTGGTCTAATATATATCTACCCTGATCTTGACGTCTCTACCCTGGCCTCGATATTTACCCTGGTCTTCTAAAAAGCAATAAAATATGTGTGAATTAACTTGCCTTTGGGTGAAAAGGTTAATCAACGGGTTAATTATCATAATTTAACATTTTCATGAAAAAAATCCAACTTTTCTGCTTGGCCGTATCTTCTAAGGGCTCGAAACCTCTTATCGTAGAACTACCCATATATTGATTTCTTATATTTTCATGTGCATTATCTATAAATGAAGCAACTTTTAAATGGTTTTGTCATGTTTGTGTTTAGATGAAACCATTTAAAAGTTTTTATAAGATATAATTTTGTGGTTCTGGTTATTTCTTTGTTCTTTGGGTATATGCATATATGGTCAATTGAACTTAATACATATTTTGGACAAAATCTGAAGAACAACAATTCCTCTTGTGAATTATACGTTAAGGCTCACAATCTTTAAAAATTTCAAGTTTGTTGTTTCACAAGCGCAGCAAACTTCACAAGTCTTCACAGTGTTTTGTAGTAATTTGCTATTATAGTCACTGAGATTCATTACAAAAATAGTAGACTAGAAATTTATAGATTGAAAGAAGCAAAGCAGATGAATTTCAGTTTTTTCTTCTAATGGGATCATAACTATACTCCATTCATTAGAAAAAAGAGGGTCATAGAAGCAGCAGTGCAGAACATTTATTTTCAATATAAATTTAAAAAATATATATTAGTTTTGTTGAAACTTTGAATGTTAGGTGGTCTGAGAGAGCTGGGCAATTTTCCATTTTTTACGATACCTCGGGGTTGAG